GGGTGAGAATAGCCACAAGACTCGCCTGCACTATTCTCACTCCGGGTGAGAATAGAGGTGGCCAAACGACATTGTCTCTTTTTCCCGTGCCTGTGAATGATATTATACTATGATGCCATGGGAAGGACTTCTGTAACGAGCGACCACCCCATCAAACACAATAAAGAAGAGGCCTAGACCTACCCCTACCCCTACCCCTAATCCTACCCCTAACCCTAACCCTACCCCTTACCCTACCCTTACCCCTACTCCAAGCCCTCAATTCTGCTCTGTCTCATAGTGGCCAGATCAACTCTCTCTTAGTCTCATTTCCCTTCAGCCATTTTTCTAAGTGTATTGACTAGATGCAGTAATTTAGTCAATAACATTCTTGATGGGTGGCAGAATTCGTGAGGCGTGGGTTCTTCTCTGCGTTCACCTGCTAGATCTCAGGGGTAGTTGATAGCTGGTTCTTCAACCTGCTGTGCAACTGATTTTTATGTGTGACCGTTTTTCCTACGTAGTGGGCCCCTTGCCTTCAGGCAGCCACTTTTCAATTTTGAAGGTACTCTGTCTACACATGTTTTTATACTGACTAGAGTATATTCCATTTTGGTAGGAATTTTAAATATATTGCCCAAGTGGCGGCCGAAGCCTACTCTCATGAATTTTAGACCAACCAAGTGATCTTTAAATCTAATTTGTGCTACTTGCACACAGGACCTCAGATTTCTTGCATTTTTCCGGGACGGCAAGGTGTTACATCTTACTTACCTAGACCCTAAGATTAGGGGTTTAGCTGAAAGACAGCAGTACAGTTCAGAAAGAAGGAGCCAGGAGTAGCAGTAGAAAGAGTCAGGGGTAAAGGAGAGAGGAGTCCAGAGGAAAGGGGGATGGAGGGGGGTGGGGGGCGGGGGTGAGGAAGTGAAGATGAAAGCAGAATGACACATGATAAGAGAACATGGAAGGAGGTGAAAGGAGAAAATTTTTTCGTCAGTGTCGGGTTTAGAACTCAGGACCTATTGAATGAGAGGTGAACACCGTACCTCTAGACCGCGAGGGCCTCTTGGGTGTTTTTTTCCGTCACTTTCAGGTTTAGAACTCAGGACCTATTGAATGAGAGGTGAACACCGTTCCTCTATACCGCGAGGGCCTCCTGGGTGTGGGTTGATTACAGAGGAATGTGAAAATGAAAATTGGGGCTTGGGGTGGATAGTAGGCCTATCACTGCGTTAGCAGCTACCCACACTCCATGGGTGGGCAGGGTTTTAGTTTTATTGGGGTGTACCACTGTGCTGTCAGAGCTTTTGTAGTGGTTTGCTCCTTTTTTAATCAAACCTCTATCATCCTTATCTTTCCTTCTTTTCTTTATGTTACTCTCTTGTAACAGCTCTAATCTTCCGCACTTATATGACCTATATTTGTGTTGCATCTGGTGTTTAAAAAAGTCAGCCAGCATTTAGGTGACTGGTTAGAAGGATTGATGGGAGATGAGTGGGAGCATACAGTATTAATAGAGCATGCTTTTTTTCGCTCCTTTTCGAAACCAACTATCATTCAGATTGTTGCTCTAATTTCTCTTTGCTCTGTTTGGTGAGTTTCACAAAAGTATCTACAACTTTTCAAATGATCTGATAATCATGGAAGTGCTTGACCTCCATGATTAGACACATTGCAAAATTTTCTAATAAATCGTAAAAGACTTTAAGGTTTAAATCTGGTTGATTATAAATGACAGTGAACTGAGTTTATTGCTGGAAAAGACTTGTCTACTTTGAGTATAAGTTTGAAAGGAATGTGGCTTGACTCATAATTGGAGAGATGTAGCTGAGGGCAATGCGCACATATAAGAACAGTTAACAATTGTAAAACATGATTGTTCGATACTATCATACTCCGCTGTGGGATTACATGTAATATGTTTTGTTTTTCTGATCTACCTCAGGTGAAAGAAAAGCAAAAGACAATGAATGACAAAGAGGAGAAGACATTAGCTTATGAAACATTTCTGAACGAACGATTGAGGGATGACCTCAGGTAAAATTATTGAGCTATTATAAACAGTTTTAAGTCTTAGATTTCAAGATGCTTCTATCTCTGCAAATATGAAAGATGTGGGACTGCAGAAATAAGATGTTTTTTCTCCTTGCCCCCGACTTGTGTATTAGTGGCCCAAAAGTCCCCTTGTTCGACCTAATAAAATTTAGAAGAAAAAAATCATGTTTGTCTTAATCGTCGTTATTTACAGTATTATCGCTCCCCTTCGACTCAGCAGGGATCTTGAACTTTTTAAAAATTGATTTTATATGATAGTGATTAATTCATGTATTATGCAGTATCAGATAGTGTTAATTTTGTCTTGTGCTCAACTTTTCAATGTTAGGTATAACTGTTTCTGCTAAAGATAGTGTGCACTTTCTTGGGAATACTGAAACTTACTTTGGGTTGGGCAATTTAAAGCATTTGCTGTTTGGAAGGTAAGAGAGATCTGAGGATCAGTTATCCATTTTCCTGTCCCGGTTAAAGCTGATAATTTTAAGTCTTCTGAATTGATGGGTCACAATTTAAATACACCAGTTAATACTGACACTGATAATATGCATGATCCACATCATCAGTTCTGCTGTCATGCTTAGTTTAAAGATATTTTGATTTTATTTATTGAGAATGATGTGACATTTTGTTTTGTCTTTTCTATAGGAAGATACTGGATCAACGAGACAAGGTGTATGAAGAGATATCAGAATATCTACAACTGAAATCAACTATTGAAAAAATAGAGGTAAAGAATATCATTTTAAAAAATGAAATATTAATCTTGCAACAAACTTCAGAAAAAAGTAGTCACAATGACACCCTGGCTTCTTTTACATACGTTTCTTTACACACAAACAGTAACTCTTTTATCTTTTTATTCTCTCTCCACTGCACTAAACCCTAAATGATATCAGAATACACTTTTCCTTCCGAGACTTAACATTGACAACACACTCTATGGAACATTACAGCAACTGCCGCAAACCTGCGCTTGTCTCAACATTGCACCGGACAGAAGATCGAGGGCCCAGCTGTTACTGGACAAAAATATCCAGTCTCTAGATATGGTTTATTAGGAGTTGCATTGATGTTCTCAGAAAAGCCCAATCGTGAAATTACTTTATTTTTATTTTCCTTTCCATCAACTTTAGTTTAGTCACACATACAATGTAGAGGTGATGAATTATTTTTTAAAAATACAATGCCCCAATGTTTTGCCAAAATACTGTAATGGAAGTTCGTGGGCAAGCAGCTTTGAGAATTTGGTTAGGACCTGTATTTGGGCATGAAATGTTCCCAGTGTAGACTGACACCACAAGCATCTGAACTCTACCTTTAGTTCAAAAGTATTAAATGGTTTCGCTGAATTGATTAAATAGTTTGCAAACATTTATCTCGATGACTCTCAAGTCAGACAAAAGCTGAAGAAATAGATAATGGTTCCACACAAGTGCATGTGTAAAGTTTTTCTGAAAGTGTCTCTTCCAGTAACATACTGGGTACCGGTACCTGTAATCTGTAATTGCCAATGGTGTTGACCTTAATTTTCAATTACATTGCTTCAAAACAACTAATACATTGCATACTTATAATAATCCATGCGTTTTAGGGGAACTACAGATATGTAATATGTTTTTGCCAGTAGTTTTTTGAATAATTTTGAGTCTGAAAAGGTTTCGAATGTAATTTCTTATCTTATAGACTTTTCTGAAGTGAGAAGCTATTGAATTGTGTTTGTTTTATCTTACTTAATGAGCAAAGTTATAGAAAATAAATAAATTCTTTTAATTTGCTCTGTAATTTCTTGATGATGCAGTTATGTGAAATTTTATTGTTATAATATAATTGATACTTAATTTGGTCAATATTATTACAGGAGGACCTTTTGCCTCAGTCCTCTCTGAAGACGAAGGTTGATCTGGGGTGTAACTTTTATGTCCAAGCAAATGTGTGAGTATTCCTAAATTGATATTACTTTTAGTTGTAGGTCTATTCTAGTGAAACACTAGATACACAGTTGTCGGTAAGCTCTCTGTTGTTTTTTAGTCTGTTTTTTTTTGGTTCCTGGATACAAGTTCAGTGAAGGCTGCTGAAACCGAAATGTGCAGGACTATGGGGTTTTCTTAGGTTAAGCCAAGTTTTCAGTTTAAAGATGTCGTTCAAATAGAAAAAAAAAATCTGGGCTTTTATTTTCCATTTGATTTACTGCTGTTTTTGGATTAACCATGTTTGGATTAAGTAGACTTCTCTGTATGTATAGTACTATGGTCACTGTTTTATTAATAAAAAAAGACAGGTTATTACCGATAATCACGTTAATGCTTAATTGTAATTGTAGAAGTTTCACGTGCCCATTGACACTATTTAGACTATTTTAGGAGTCGTTTATCACTCTTCAAGAGAAGGATAATTTCAAAGGTAAAGTGTTTGGTCTTGTATTTAGAATAAAAAGAAGGAGGAAGGAAAATTAACAGAGGTGGTTCTCCAAGTAAACTACACTTGGTTCTAAACAGAGTGATACTGATGTCTGATTTACCATCGTTAGTGGGTTTGCACCTCCTGCTGCTTTCTGATGTTCAGTGTCAGTAGCTTTGTTAAATTTTAATGTCAACTTACTTATTAAGGCCATCTCATAAAGTTTTGGACAAAGGGACGTGATTAGTTATAATGTTATAATATGAATACTGCTACCCACACTATACCACCAACTTCATG